TAAATATATTTTGAGAAAAAGTATATTTTTTTGTTAAAAATGTTCTTCTATTAATATCAACAATATTTTAATAATGAACATATCTAATAATAGTTCAAAAATGAATATAATAGAAAAATTGATTTTTAAAATTGCCTTTTTCAAATATAAATTTAATTTAATAAGTGTTTGCAGACTTTTTGTGCAAAATTTTCATTATTTGAAAAATTATATTAGTTACAAACAAGTATATTTTACTAATTAATTTTTAATTAATTTTATTTTTGGTCTCTTTTAAGAAACCACTTACAGGCACTGGGAGTTCCACTATTTCAGTATATGGTATCCACTATACAGTTTATTTATGTTAGATAAGACAAATATATATGTATATATAATAAAATACATGTGCGAAATTGTGATATATTTGAAAAAACTCTTTTTTGTATTATTCTTAATTAATATATTAGGAATGCATGATATAATATAAAATGTGTGAGTAATTAAAAAATTCGAGATAAATCGAATGGGTACTCTGATATCAGTAAGATGAGATCAGCAAATTATTGTTACGTGCTAAGTGTTAACTGTTAAATGCAACAGAAAAATTAATTTCTTGATAATCATTTGATGCTGCTAAATATTCAAATTAAATTTTTTTTGTCTGTCTGTTAAATATCTTACTGTTATTAGATTTGATTTGTCTCGAGCACATTTAGTACCCTAAAATTATTATTATTCACATATTTAATCAAGTAACGCTAAAAGCACATATATTTTATTTTTTCTAAATATACTTGATTCTAACATGTATATAAAAATCATTATATTCAGTCATTATTTAGTAAAAAAAGATATTTCTTAAAATGGAAGAACATTTTTTTTATGCGAATTTTAATTTCATTTATTGAAAATGATAAGAAGGGTAACAGTTAATTCGCTGCCGAAATCACTGTTATCAGGAGCAATTAGGAAGATCAGGGATTCGTTCCTTCCTGTAAAGGGATTTCTGATGTTTAATGAATCACTTAACTATTCATTGTGGATCGATTTCGCAAGATCCGAAATAGAAGAAATAAGACAAATTGAAGTCGTTTTCCACTTTTAGGATCGTTCTTCTCTCTGTCAGATATTAACTAGCGTGTCACTCGGTAGAGGGATTTTGATCTGGTTTAATCGTTGGGTTAGTTATCCTTCATTGAACGTGGTGATAATGCGATTTTAAAGAACATTAAAGTTTAGCCTGTTTGCAATTGTCCGCGGATATTTTTTATTTTTAATCACAAAATTTACATGAAATTGTATATTTGAAAAGAAATCGAGTATTACATTTTGAATACGCGTTTAGTTTTTTACGTCATATATTATAATTGCAGATTCCTCGTATATTATAATTGCAGATCATATAAAATGCGCCTCTAATATCACAATCTTTTTATTATCATATAAAACGATAATAATTATATTGCGTGTGCGCACGTTGTATTCAGATTATAGAAATTATATGTATTGTGGTTAAATATTATTATCAATTTATTCATCACATACATTCGTGAAATTTAAATCGCGATTTTTTCTTTAATTTAATCAAAGCTCAATTTATCTTTTCGCGATAATATTGTAGAAAAGAAAACTTTTTACAAAATGCATTAAAATTCCGGGTACTCTTTCTTAATTGAAAGACATAATCGATAAATTTATTAATGATTCTTTTGGTTGCGATAGATTATCAGCGTCAATCTAAACATTTCTAATAAATTTTACATTGTACGCATTTTTGATATTTTCGTGTAATATAACAAAATACTCATGTATGTAAAATTGTATATATTAACTATTTTATGTATAATGTATTATGAATTATGTATATTTTACTTTATTGTTATTGTTATACATTATACACTTTCAATTTAATTGTATTATTATGTATTAAATTAATTTTGTAATTTATGTTTTATAACTCTTTATATTATATTTCGAGTTAACATATAGGCAAAATAAAATATTATGTATCAAGTTATACAATTATGGAAAATATAACAAAACTATGTGGAAAAGTGTTATTTATAGTGTTATTTATAACACTTACAATAGAGAGGGGGGGGGGGAGAGAAAATAAATCTTGAATAAAAGTCGAAAAATGGAAAATATATCTCCATTTTCCGAAAAATGGTTTTATTCTCCGAACTTTTCTTTCTCTTTCTTTTTATATACATAATATTATTGTTAAGTCCAAGCGTATATGTTGATGTTTTCAACATCATTATCTATATTATTGATAATATTTGAATAAATTCGAATATACATATATTTATTTGATGTTGATAGCACCACCAATTTATAAATTGTATTATAATTATAATAAATATTTTGTAATATATTTTTATATGACTGCAAGCTATGTAATTATACACTATAATATTTTATAATTATATAATATATATTTTATAAATACTTTGTATTATATTTTTTATTTGGAAAGTTTGAAAAATCTACACTATTAAAAGAAAATAAAATAAAATTTTACCTCCTCGATTGTATCTCCACCTTAACGAAGGCATTTGCCGGGTGAGGAGGTTTGAGTACTCTAATGAACCTAAGAGCTATGCCGGCGGTAACGTAGGCCAGTATTCATATATAATCTGTTCTTATGTTTAAAATTATCTTAGATTATATCTTAAAATTTTATTCAATCAATGAAGTGATCACAATATTTTCTTTGACTTAAGATGGCCTTAAATATAAAAACAGACTATGAATATTAGCTGTAGTTATCAGTAGGGTCACCCATGCCGGATAGGTCGAAGGGGAAGAGTCAGACTAAGAGAGATACACAAAATTTACATAAATTATATGTATTATAATAATATATAATAATAATATATAATATATAAATTATATATCATTAATATATATATAAATTATGTATGTTATATTAATATTTTTGAATAAATTGGAAGCAAAAAGAAATAGTAATCGGAAGAATAGAGAAAAGTTGCTTCAGTGAATTGAACATTTTTTAAGAATGCCTGAAGATAAATAACTATGGAAGATATTCCAACAAACATCAAGAAGGAGGAAATGCATGTACCTATTATCTTAGGAATGCGACAGTATAACAATCGAAAGATTCGAAGAAGAGGATAGCGTTAAGTAAAAATTATATAGTAATAATTAAGAACGAAAAAATAGCTTGCAATTATATAAAATCTGCTAATATTAATTATATTTTATAATTGTTATATTTTACAATTTAATATTAGAGTATAGGTATTAAGTATTCAAATATTTTGCTGTTATGGAAACTACAATGAAATTATATAAAACACGTTTGTGTGTTATATAGAGGGGAATATATAATTTCATTAATCTACAGAATACTAATTACGTTCAAAAAGATTAAATAAATTATAAAAGATTGAATTATTATTTTGTGGACATTTAAAATCGTTAATTATTACAAATAACGAAAAGTTCTTGAGGTTATTGAAAGAGAGAGCAAAAATAAATAAAGAGCAAGCCAGATATATATCAAGCCAGACATATATCATCAAAAGAGTTTTAAAGTCTTTTACTAGTTTTAAAGTCTTTACTAGTTGATACTTCTTTTACTTATAGTTTTTTACAAATATTATCTTATCATAAAAAATAAACTACATTGTATTCGTTTACAATTAATAGAATGTAAATATCCTATAAAGTAAAAACTGAAACTTTTATTTTTTATTTTATTAGTTTAAAATTTTATTTTTATTCAATTTTAATAGAATAATAAGAATTTTACAATTAATGACATCAAACAGGACATAAATCGGATGTATTTTATTGTTAAATATGTAATCAAAAATTTTTATTATTAGACTAAATTATAAATTATTATTTACGTCGTGTTTAATGTTATTTTAAATCACAAAAATCTCACTAATTCTTTAAAATTAAATAAAAATAACTTTTTTAAAATTAAATAAAAATAAAATTTCAAACCAATAAAATAAAAAATAAAGATTTCAGTTTATATTTTATAGGATATTTAAATAAAGGTTTCAGTTTATATTTTATAGGATATTTAAATAAAGGTTTCAGTTTATATTTTATAGGATATTTAAATTCTCGTGAGTTATTAATGGATAGAAGAAGCAAAAAAATCGATTGTAAGCGACTTCGAAATTTTTCGATGATAGATCAAGTGCTTTGCGAAATTAAAAATTTGTACTATACATAGGAAAGAAAGGAGAGAGAGAGAGAGAGAGAGAGAGAAAGAACCAAACAAAACTTATTTATAAGATAATTTAAACATTTAATATACATTATTTAATATATAGTACATAAGCGTCTTGCGACATTCTTATTCGTATCAATATTTCGTGCACATAGCACGGAACAGAACCAAAAATTGTGCACGTTATATGTTATCCTCTGAGAACATTCATGGACATTGGCTTTGTAGTTCATGTTCATAGAGGGAGTATCGCTTTCAGGGATCACCTAAAAGCAGGCCATGACATCTCTCAGTCTTCTCTCTGCGAATCATAAGGTAATTACATATTTTAACAGTATTTAAATATCACATATTTATTTCTCTAAAAATATTAAAATTACTGTTGAAAATTGATAGCCAACAGAAATTGTTTATTCATCATAATACGATTCCATAATTTATTAGAATAAGTCGAAGCGAGTAAAAGGGAAGAGTAAATGTAAAATTTAATAAAATATAAGCGCAATTAAATATATGCAAGTGCTTATATATTATGCAAGTGTTATAAAAAATAGACAGTTTTTAAACATTTCCGAAAACTTTAAAAAAATATGTATACATATATTTTTTATCTTTCCGTCTTCTTTTTATGAGATAAGAGATAAGCATAAAATTTGTTCCTTGATTGTCATGATTCGAAATGTTTGTGACAAGCGGAGAGTCGGTGTGTTCTAAAATTTACTCTTCAACATAGTGCAGACGTTTCCATAATTTCGTAGGAGGTAGCCCATCTCTCGCAAAATACATGAACAATGGTACATAACCAATTTGTCGCGAACCGGCTTTTAGAAAATGTAGAAAATTTTGAACTTTCATCCGCGCACGACCGATTCGTAAGTGCAATAGTTATATATCATTCGTACATTCATATGTTCATTATATGTGTCACGGTATTTTTTTCATCTCGTATTTATAAAAATTGACGTTATACATTCGTATTATATCGATCCGAGTGACAATAACGGGCTGTACAGAATCTTATCTGCATATTAAATCGACGATAAAGTTTTAAGTGAATCGAGATAACTCTTCTCATTTCCACGTTTCGAATATAACGAATATAATTAAGATCTCGCGAAATAAATGCTAATTTAATTTTTTTTTTCAATTCACTTATTTCTCTTCATTTCCTTCATTTTCGTTTCCATTTGTATAAATGTCATAATATTTTACACAGATATATTTCAAGATGCCAGGGCTGTCATAATAATATGTAAAAGTATATACGACGATTATAAAATAGAACAGATGCTGTAAATTTAGGTAAAATATATCACAGATGATAAATAATGTGTAATGCATAATTAAATGTATAACTTTGAGAATACTTTGCAGATGCTGGCTAGTAAGCTAATTTTTATTTCGCACAATGATTGCCAGCGACATACAAGGCTCCTTAAAGGAAGCTCTATATGAAACATTAACAGAAATTTTATCACCGCATTATGAAACTCGTAAAGCAGCGGAACAGAGAATTCAAGCTTTAGAAGTGACGGAGGAATATGGAATACACTTGACAGAATTTGTCATTGATCCCAATGGGCATTTACCTATCAGACAGTTGGCTTCCGTTTTATTGAAGCAATATGTTGAAACACATTGGTGTTCATTGGCTGATAAGTTCCGTCCACCAGAGCTTAACAATACTGCTAAAAAGAGGATTAAAGAGTTATTACCCTTAGGACTTCGAGAATCTATTAGTAAGGTAATCTTTTAAGTAATTTTTATAATTGTAAGAATTTAATTCAAATAATTTGTTTAATTATAAAAACTTAATTTGTCATTCAATTTAATATTATATCATTGGATATTGATACAATTTCATATATAAATAGGTAATCAAGATATTTTTAACTTTAGGTACGAACTGCAGTGGCTTATGCAATATCCGGTATAGCACATTGGGATTGGCCTGAAAATTGGCCTGCCTTGTTTGATGTGCTTGTCAGCTGTTTAAGAGAGGAGAGCGAATATGCTGTTCATGGAGCAATGAGAGTCTTGACAGAATTTAGTCGAGATGTTACAGACACTCAGCTGCCTAATGTAGGACCTATTATTCTTCAAGAGATGTACAGGATATTTCAAAGTGAAAATGTAAATGTCATGAAATTTGAATATTTAAATATTTTTTACATAATTTTTTTTTTTTATATTGTCATCTTTGTTTCTTGTAACAGTATTCGATTAGAACGCGTGGTCGTGCGGTTGAGATTTTCATAACTATTACAACTTTGGCTGCTAATATGGGAATGCATGAAAAAGGATTTACGGAGCAGTATCTGCAGCCAATCATTCCTATGTTTTGTGAAAAGTTTGTTGAGTGCCTCAGAGTGCCTAACAGCCCAACTAGTGACAGTGGATTCAAAACAGATATTATTAAAGCCATAAATTGTCTTGTCACAAAGTTGCCCAAATATGTATCGCATCTTTTACCTGAAATGCTGCCACCCATATGGGAAACTTTATGTCAAAGTGCAAAAACTTATCAAGAAACGACGGTCAATGCCGATGAAGACATCAATGATAAAGAAGTTGATTCTGATGGTATGTTCTTTTAACAAATATAACATATTGTTATATTTTTCTTTAATAAATATATCCTTAATAAATATATTTATTTTCTAGGTGAAGTAATCAATTTTAACAGTTTGATTATTGCAATATTTGAATTTGTCCAGAATATCGTGGAACGCAAGAGGTTTATAAATATGTTAGATAATATGCTACCAGAAATAATATATTATCTAATAATATTTATGCAAATAACATTCGACCAGATTCAACAATGGACAACTAATCCGAATCAATTTGTCGAGGAAGACGAATGCATGTTTGATTATAATGTCCGTATTTCCGCACAAGAATTTTTAACAGTGAGTACAATATATGAAATAATTATAAGAAAACACACATTTTACAAGTATAAAAATTGATACTTTATCGTTTTTCTTACAGACTCTTATAAATAATTTTGAGGAAAAAGCAGTACATGCGCTTTGCGATGTAATTACACGACATATTGAAGCAACAAAGGCACTACAAGCCGGTAACGGTGATGGCAGCAATAGCAACGAAAGTTGGTGGAAATTACGAGAATCGTCTCTTCTAGCATTGAGCTTATCTAAGAATAACGTTGTTGAACAGCAGCAGGCTGGAATGTTACAGTTCGATATTATCAGATTTCTAGACACAGTTGTTTTGGGAATGTTAAATGACTCAGGTGATTAATTACAGGACGGGTAATTTATATCCTGTTTATATCGTGTTATAATTTATATGTAAAAACATTGTGAAAATTGTGATGTACATTTTTATGCTTTTTTAGAATCGCCACCGTTACTTCTCGGTCGCTGCTTATGTCTCGGCGGACGATACGCCAAGATAATGCCGCCAGAAGTGAGTTCTCGATTTTTGGAAGCGACGGTCAATGGCTTACAGGAAAATCAACCACCTTGTATACGCATCAGTGCTGTTAAAGCAATCTATTGGTTTAGCGAAGCGTCAGTTGAGAAAGATTCCATCATCAACATAATAGGCTGCCATATGCTCAATATATTTCAAGGATTATTCAGTCTAGTTAGTCAACCGAACACGGATGTTCTAATCTTGGTCATGGAGACGTTTCAAATACTAGTCTGGGTAATGCTCTGACATTTTCATCTATTTTATTGTGATATTTTTTTCCCATTATTTAAGTTATTTAAATCTTATCTTTGTTTTTTTAGCAACATAGAGAATTTACAGCATCAGTGGAAAACAAGATTTGTCCTTTGACAATCGCAGTGTTTGTAAAGTTTCACAGTGACCCGACCATCCTAGATATATGCCAGAACATATTCAAGGACTTGACGCAAAATCCAAGCTGCATCGAGCCACTGCAAACTCGTATAATACCTACGCTCACGAGCATGATGGCGATAACTCCTATGAATAAATCAAAGGATGGTATGGCTTGTTGATGATACTCTTTTGTCAAACTGATTCGATTTGATCGAGCCATTATCATTAAATTTTTATTTTTTTGTCAGAGGGATCTCGAGCAGTAGCATTGGACGTGTTAAAAGTTCTTGTACAATATTCACCGACACCTCTGAGTAACGCTTTGGTCGAGACCGCTTTTCCGGCTGCTTGTCACTGCGTTCTCAATTCGGAGGATCACGCGACGCTGCAGAATGGTGGAGAACTCATACGCAGCTATTTATGCGTGGCGGCGGAACAAGTCATCGTGCATCGAGACAGCGAAGGACAAACTGGATTGCAGTACATATTGGAAATAATCGCTCAACTTCTAAATCCACAGGTAACATATTGTCGCCTAGAATTAGAAATCGTGCTAATCTTAATTAGAGAATTAGGTATATTTTTGTTAGGAAATTACACATGTGTACACATAGCGGTATTTCAGTCGAGCGAATTTACTGCCACTTTTGTCGGACGTTTGGTCACGACGCTGATTAAAAACGTTGGGAACAATCTGGGCGAAAATCTTGATCTATTATTGAAAGCGGTGTTGAGCAAGATGCAAAGCGCTGAAACGTTGATCGTTATGCAGAGCCTATTGATGATTTACGCGCATCTCATAAATACGCAGTTTGATGCTGTGTTGAACTTCCTATCGACTGTGCCAGGTCCGACCGGACAAAGCGCATTAGCATTCGTACTGTCTGAATGGGTCAGCAGACAGCGTCTGTTTCTCGGTAGGTACGAGCGCAAAGTCGCGACGGTCGCATTGTGCAAGATTCTCGAATACGGAGTCACTCACGGAGATAGCAGATTGGACGAGATTACAGTCAAGGGGGACATGATTATTTCAGGTTCGTTATTTTCGAACTATTTCGATTGCAAATTGACAAATAAATGGCGATAATTAGCTATGATGATGCGACGAAATAAATTTTCTTGCTCGGCGCACATAAAATAAAATACAGTATTATTATTTTTAATTGTTATTCTAAGTGATAAATCGATTTTATTGAAAGAAGAAATTATATATATATCTTTTCTGCGAAATATATATAGTAAGTATAAAAAAATTCAAATATATATATACACATATATAGGAATTGAAGATGGTGTGAGGACCAGAAGTAAAGCTGAATCGCAACCTTACGAATGGACTTCGATGCCTGTACTTGTAAAGATTTTTAAAGTAATAATCAATGAATTGGCAAATGATATCGAAATTATTAACGCCACTCAAGATACGGAAGTAAGTAACATTCGTTTGTGTTCTTTCTTTGGCTTGTACTCCTTTACTTTATTTTATTTTTTTATTTTCAATTTTACTTTATCAAAATGAAGACATAATTTCGATGCCTAGAACTCTGATGATGAGGATGAAGACGAAGACGATGATGAATTGATAGATCCTGGAAATGAGACTGAGAACATTTTACGTAAGCTGCATGCGAACAGTCTATAATAGCGAAAACTGAATGTACTGGTGCTTAAAGACTGTCATATATAAATTTATAATTAGATAAATAACTACAACAATAAGATAATTAATTCTGCGAATTATTATCATTATTTGTATTGAATAACAATCATAATAAGTAGTATTAATTATTTCACTGTTTCAATTATTTATGATATTGTAAATTTAATAATTAGAGATTGTAAATAGAGATTGTAAATAGATATTTTTAATTTATATACGACAATATTTAATGAATATCAGTGCACACTAGTGCATCTAACTGAATTTACTCTAAATTATATAATCGCTAATTATAGAAAATGTCAATGAGACTCTTTTATAGAATTTGGGGGTACGGATGAAGATAATGACGATGAAGAGGATCCGGAATTATTGCGAGATTCTATTTACCATTTGAATCTCGGTCAATATCTGCGCGATTTCCTGTTGAATTTCTCCACTCATCATTGCTTCCGCATGTATATCCAACACCTGAATGTGCCAGAACTAAAAGTTTTGAATAATATAAATATCAATGCGCTTATGTAATAGGAAAATGATCGGAACAATTTTTGAATTTCATAATAAACGATCTTTTCTATACTCTGCGAAATCTTCGTTATTATGAAGTCCGCCAATTATTTCCTTATACTATTTAGATAAAATATAAGACCTAAAGATATTACAAGTACAATTACAATAATATATCGTCACCATTGCATATATTAATACTATATTTTATATTTGGGTTTTATTTACATTACACATATTCTTAGAATCATTAACATCGCATCTACATACAAAAGACAGCATACATACGCGCAATCGTTTATATGTAACCTAGATCATACAGCATACTTTTTCTACAATATTATGTTTTAATAGTATCTAATCATATCATTTTCCTGATGCGCGTATCGCAAATATTATGCAGCGAATTCTCGTCAGAAAGTACGCGATAATGATTTTATCGAAGCATTTGATTCACACCCATTAAATTATTCTCTTTCTCCACATATGCATGTATATACACATACATATTTTAGAATACATATATAGAGTCACAGGGCAGTATGGACATTGGCAGTATGGGATTCTAGTATTTGATTTTCTGCAGAGGGGGGAGTGGGGGAGGAAATACAAAAATAATAATCGCACGGTTCGGTGTATACACAAGAATAAAACACAGCTTTACATTTATACGAGATATCCCAGATTTCGATCTTACGTATCTTTCACATATTTCGTTCATTCTCTAGATGCTTTACAAAAATCATGTAAAAATTACGCAAAACAGCGTTTACATGCTATAATCTGTAAACAGACGAAAAGGTAACGCTCTGTTGCCGTCATATATATCGTTTTTTTTTTTTAAACATACCATTCGATGTCCATGAAAATAAGACAACAACAATGGAATCGACGTTAAGGCGATGGTCCTCCGGATATACATTGCCCTGCCGTGAGAGATTTCTATATCAACGTATAAAGCAAAATGATAATATTGATACGTATTACGTTAATATGTCGCTTATCATACATATCTACAAATCTATAATTACCGATGTCTCTGCTCTGTTGAATATTTTTGTCATGTGTATAAAATAATCTACATGTTTACGTCGTAAGTATTTACAAGATTAATTAGAGCGAACATGCTGTATAAACTCCACACATGTCTACATAAATTTTTGCGACATAAATTTAAGTTTCTCCGTTTTATTACAATACTTTTTAACGTGTCCTTTCTTTGCGCGCATTTTATTTTTTCTATAAAAATCACAAAAATTATTGAACGCCTCGTATGCTCTGCATATCCAGCAGAAAATTGAAAATAAATATCTTCATTGTTTTTATATAATCAACGTTAAATTATTTTCTATTCGCATTGAAGAATCAAGACGTAACATGCATATATATTTGCTAGCATATATATTACAAAAACTGCACAACGCGAATCGTCCAATGAAGTTTGTACGCTTGAATAAATGTGTTTGTGTATCGAGCGCAAATAATCTCGTATGGATTATTCCAACAAATGTCTATATTTTTGACATTACCTCCGCGTGATGCGAGCAATTATATTCACGCGAATTATATAAAATAGACGCATAAGTAGTATCACGTAGATAATTCGGGATAAGTGTTATATGCGGTAAAATATTTCAGTTATCAATTTTCATCGTACTATATAAAAGTCATTAAAAATATATCTTTGCGCGTTACTATGTTTCTGCGCGACCAACGATTGACTTGGAACGAACTAAAGACAGAGCGAGTTTGCTTATACCGTGGTAACCGACAGTAGACCCATTAATTTTCCCCCCGTCCCGGGACCGCTTGCTCCCACCCTGTTTCCGTGAACCAACATTTCTTGCACGGTGGTGAAGTCGTCCAGGGTATTCTTTTTACGCGCCATTTTCTTGTGACTGAGCTCCACGATGCTTAACGGCTTCTTCGACCCTTTGTCCTCTGTATGTTCGCATATCAGTAGATCGTTGGTTTGTTGCATTTGTTGCTGTTGCTGTTGCAGCATCAGTTCCTGCTGACGTTGCTTGCGTTCGCGCGCACGTTCCAGCTGTCGTTTGCGCTCCTCCTTGCTCCAATATCGTCCGACCTAGAATAGTATGGGAATGAAAATTGAGATGAATTGATTTTGATACAAAATCGAAATAGAGAGAGCAAGTTGTATGTAGATTATAGTATTTTGCTTTCTATCTTTCCAAAAATGAGAATTTATGTTTTCATATTTGATAGATATTTCACTAGATATTTCATTAGATTACCTGATCCGTATCAATCGTAGCGACGCTCACCTTCATCTCCGACATGGCATCGTCCTCCGTGGTGTGACCAGCCCTCTCCTCGCATATCTTGATCGCCCTATTCCGTAGTATCCGATTTCTCACAGGTCTTCTGGCGATGTACCTCGTCCCATCCGCTCTTCTCTTCACTTTCCACTCCATCTGCACCTCGCCTTTGTCCTCCGGCGGTGTCCATGTGGACGTGCACACCTGCTGACTGCCGACAAATTGGTACTGCGTGAGATTCGGCGCTTGGAAGTTGCCGTGCGACTTGGACTTTCTCGCACCACCCGCTGATATCTCCTTAGACGTCGTAGAGTTCTTTCGATTGAGCGCCTGCTTGAACAGCTGCTGCTGCAACATCATTGTCTGTTGCAGATTTGCCACGTTCGTATACATGGTATCGGCTGGCAGCGTGTTGGCGTTCATCGACAGTTCGTTACGATCTTTGTGATGATGCGAGGACGATGACGAGCTCTTTCTCACACTCTGATTCTTCGACGATTGCCTGATCGTTGCGGTTGTCGCGGTCGGCGTCACCGGCATGGGACAATTGCAGCCCAGCTTCTGTTGCTGCTGCGGTGTCTTCGGCGGTGGACACAACACCAACGTACTCTTGTGATGATCTCTCTCGCCCTGCTGAAGCTCCAAAGTCAGAGGATTGCTATGACAGGATTCGCCAGTGTTGTACGCGCTCGAGCTGTCCTTCTCCTCGCCGGAACTATTGCTCTTTGAAGAGGACCACTTTTGATTCTGCTGACCGCTGGCAGACAGGTGATTCTGTGTCGCGCCACTGCTGTGCTGCAATTGTGTCGTCACGTGGTTCGACTGCTGCGTCCAATGCTGGTGATGTTCGTATGGCGATGAGTAAATTGGCTCGCTGTCCGACTCTGGTATCGTCTCATAGATGTGTTCTGTGTCGCTCCAGACATGGCTCGAGTAAGCTTCGACGAGCTTCACTGTCGGCGGTGCCGACACTGTTGGCGGCGGCGGTGGCGGTCCAGGTTGTTGGCTGCGTAGTGAGATACCCTCGAGCCTCTTGGAGCAATCCTTCAACGAGTCCTGCATCCATTGCTTGCTACGTTCCTCCGTATGATGCGCCGGCGAAGTCGCATTCTTGCCGCTTGACTTTTGCGAGTTTTGTGAATTTTGTGACGAACATGTGGACGAGGAGTTTGTGGAGAAGATGGGCTGTTGCTGTTGCTGTTGCTGCTGTTGCTGTGTGTGAGAAGGTATAGGTGGAGCCGCTTTTAAGGTGCAGTTGTTTATTTCGGTTTCTTTGGTACGTTCCTCCGTTTGCTGCTGTTGTTGACGGATCAGCTGCTCGATCATGCTGTTCTGATACGCTGGTAGATTCTCAGGTGAAAGCGGCGGCGATCCCTGAAGCGGAATGATTCATGATAGATTAGCGATATACGCGATAGTGCGCGAATGCTTTCTTTTTATCATTTTACATGATTCGACTTACTTGGTGATAGATGCGCCTGTCATCGTATTCGTCGTCCTAAAATAAAATACGTAAGTTAATTTGTAATATAAAAAACATTGTTTATACACTTTTAACTTACATAATCAATCAATCATCATTTCAAGCTATCGCATATTATTTTTTATTTTATAAAAAATTATTTTTAATATATGCATTCATATGTGAGAATTTGTTAAAATCTCTATTATATATTTTTCAAAGTTTACTTATTATATTATTTCGTTCAATTTATACATAAATTGAACGAAATAAATATTGCAATAATAAGATGAATATAAGATTAAAACGAACTTGATATACACATCGGCTGACGAGAATTGTCACTGCAGTTTTTGTCTCCGCGAACAAGTTCTCGGTTTGCTCCTTATTCGCGACGTCCCTGCCGTTGACCTGAAACGAGAGCGAAAAGGTTCCTTTCAATGAATGACGGACGCTTCTTGATTTCCAAAATGAGTCATTGTTCTCGCGAGAGATGTACATGCATAATGAAACGCCGTATTCTGAATGTAAATCCGACTTAGAGAAACCCTCCGAGATCCCCCGATTCGTGAGCTGACTCTCAACGCGAATTTCTCATTCCAGAATTTACACTTGCAATAACAGCGAAAATAAAGGCGGAAAATTAATTGTTTCATTCACAAAATTTTACATATCGCGTATGATTTGTATTTCCTACCAAAAAACGCGACTGGAGACAATATTTTTTTTTTAATCATCTAATGAAATATCTTTTGAGATGCCTTTTGAAGTCGCTTTTTTGAAAGAATACATTTTTTTTTAAATAATAAACATAATAATACGATCAAAGTAAGAGCAAAAAAGTAAACTCCTATTCAAAATTTTCATTAGATGCGATTTACGTTTCCTAATTAAAAAAAAAACGCGATTTAATATAATCCCATCTTTTTAATTAGTCAAAGAAGGCTCGAATGCCTTCTCTTCTTCCGACGAATTCTTGAGCGAAATCTTTAGCGCGGGAGGAAGTCGCGTTAAATAGGCAAGGATAATTTTCGATAAGACGTCGAATAATGTCACATTAAACTAAAACATGCTTCAGGAGAGCTCATTGGAATCTAAAGAGACAGACGATGACAAATTCATCACATACATTCATCCACTGTAGTCCGTGTCATTTCCCTTCGATTCGAGTGCAAGAGGGAAAGGACGAGCAAGCACGGTTCGTAATTATAATCTGCCTAATGAGATTTAGAGGTTTAGGAGAATCCTCGACGGGGATAATGAGGCGTCAACAGGAAATTTGCGAACGTCATGGATCCGTAGTGCAAAATTTTGCGATCTAGACCAACAACGTGATCTTGAAACATAAAGCACGCATACAAACTCGGTGTAAATTCGCTATTATTAGCTGCTAGACACTTTATATACGGCACGTTTGTATTATTGCTCCTCGGGGGATTTTGCAAGCACTTCCGCGCTTACCTCTCTTAGCCTATTAAATTTATACGATACGTTACATTCTATATTATCCGTAACTTCCCTCGCTGAATTCTCGCTGAGCTTTACTATATTACACGCTTTTCACCAACTCGGTTCGAGATAAAGTATCACGTCCGAACTAATGGGAGTTATTTAATTTTCGCCAATTTTGTCGGTAAAATTGAATCTTCTTCCCGTATATTTGCAAACTTTGTCGCAGTTCTACGCTTTTCAGCCTCGAGATTAATTTGACGAAATATCGTAGCATCATTTTTACATTCAGATGATGTAAAATAGAGAAAAATTATGCAATTATCAAATTTTTTATATAAATAAAAAAAGAATTTTATCTCTTTTTGCATTAATAGTGTAAGTTCTGATGTATATTGTGTTATATGAATTGTCTGCATTTTTTTAAATTTTGATCGATTGTATTGCTTGATTTGATAACGTTTTTACATTACATTAATTACATACATTTTTGTTTTACATAATAGAATTTCTAAATTTACCCGCAAGATTTGATCTCCTTCTCGCAACCGACCGTCCCGGGCTGCAAGACTTTCAGGAACTATTTCCGAGATATAAACCTCTGTGTCAGCGTCCTCGCTACCGGAACCGGAGCTATAGCACACGGTCAGTCCGAGCTTCTCGGCACTTCCGCTTTTCCGCAACGTCACCTCCTTCAACAGCATTTCATAACGGTATTAATGTTCGCCATAGTACATAATGTTGAGCGGAACTAAGTATCTACGCTGATATTTGCATAGTTTCCCTCATTAACTGATATTATAGCCATTTAACAAACATATTAGGAAACAAGAGATGCGCTTTTACATGTAATCTAGCGCATATTATTAATTTTCAGCTTACATTTAATTTTTATGATTAATTATTTTCATCTATTCTCTATTATTTTCTTTTCCAAGTTACAAGTTCTTTTTATTTATTTTTTTTTTTAATCAAATATTCCCAAAAGAGGATATAACACATTTAAAAGTGTCCTTTTTAAAATTTAAATTTGTCAATAGAATATATAAATCTTCATCTATCACATTCACTCAAAGTGACGAAGCTTTAAATTAAACTATTTCGAATACTGTTATATTGTGTAGAAATTAAACTCGATAATAATTATAATTGTAGGATACCTCAAAGTCGATGTCATGAGCGAGAAAGTCCTCGAAACTATCATTCGCTTGTTCCTCGACCACGAGGGGAACCGGCAACAACTCTTCCTCCTCCTCCATAAGACCAGCCCAGTCCGTTTGGACCGCAGTCGACACCAAAGGACACGCCGTGTCCTTTTTGACATCGTCGGTGCACGGACGCTCGTCTATCGGACCCTTCCCGTTCGTCGTTCCCTCATTCTTATCCTGACATGTGATCCTTTCGTGTTCCTTGGAGGGTGTGTGAGGAACCTGTTGATGCTTGCCAGGTTGTCGTCGAAGAACTTCGACGATAATTGGCTCCTGAGCCGATTGAAAGCAACGTACAGCATCCTCGTGACTAGAATTGGAAACGTCTTGTCCGTTCACCTTAAAAAAAAAAAAGGTAAATTTCAGATTATTTTTAGATATTTCATGCATTAAAAATATGACAATATCATCTAACATCAAGCGGTTGGCTGCATCTTTTCTATCGACACTCGAGAAGATGCACGTGTCAACGTGGGGAAATTTCGTCTTTTCCTTCCACTCTCTCTCCGCCTCCTGCCTTTAATTAAAATATACTGTTCCCCGAAGGGAACATAGAGACACCTCATCATTCCTCATAATTGCTTTCTCGCGCTTTAATGTCCAATTAAATAAATAACTGCGAGACGTCGTCAACGACGGGATGCTGACGACGAGAGGATGGACAGGGGTAGATGAGGATGGCGGTGCTGGGGACGCGAAGACGTCGTCGATCAGAAACATAGGCGGATTAATTAAATGACACGCCTAAATTAATGTACGTAGGCTGGTAATTAATTTTCAAGAGTAACGACACAGTCTTTCCTTACAATTCGGCAAATTGGTTTCTCTTTTTAATTTTTCAAATCAAAACCTGGAGGAAAAACTGGAAAGTAAATCGGATAAAATTAAGCATTAATACATCGCCGTAATTATCAGCAGAATTTTAATTATAATTTTTAACTATATTTCGCTGAAATAATTAATTAAGAAATCGAGAAAAAATATCGATATCAGTTAATATTTATTTCACTCAGACGATTATCAATTTCATCGAATCAAACAGACATTTTTTTTTCATTGTACAATATTATTGGACATTTAATATATCCTGCAGAGAGTCATTAATTTCATGGATTGATACATATCGGTTTAATTCTCGGACGATGAGTTCTTATTCGTTCGCTCTAAATTACTTTCTGGGAGGAACGGCGTCTAATTAAAGGACGTAAACGTCCACGTGAAAAATGCTGGTCGGACCATCGATCGGACGCGCTGGTCAAGGAAGTTGAGACGCTTTTATACTCTGGCGAAAAAAACCCGAACGATATAACCCTCTATTAACTCTAATTTCTCCCACGAGCACGGTCATATAACGTCCGATCAAACATTTGCCTTTACCAGAAGAGACCTCCGGGATGCCACGCTTATACCCGGTACCAGGTGGCACTTAATTTCGCACTAAATGCCAGGATTTAAGGATTTGGAACGGGACAGAACGGTGTAACGAGCCGAGGACCCTCGACGTTTCAATTTGGAGCTTACAAACCGCCGGAGTGTATATATTCCCTACGCCGGATAATGATAGCCTGGCGATTTTCTTTAATCGTGAAAAATTTCGAAGCGCTCCATCAAGGATGTGTATTCTATCAAATAAACTTTAAAAAATTATCCCAATAAACTTTAAAAAATTATTGTGCATTTAGAAAAGGCAACACGCCGAGGAAAAAATTTTATAACGATGGAATTAATTTTTTTTACATCGCTAGAAAAATAGAAAAAAGTCAATCTCAAATCAAGTTAAACGATACATTATTTGATAGCGTTTCTCAAACGTTTGAGAAACGCTATCAAATAATGTATCATATATAACTTATATTATAATAATTATATTGCACGAAATTATTAAGTTATTCTTTCCCTAATTTTCTAATAACGTGAAAATTTAAACGTTATAAAATTTTTTTCTGCATGTTACTTTTTCTAGAGACAAGTTGAAAATTATGATTATAATATTTTAATAAAAATATTATAATTATAAATATATTTTAATAAAAATATATGTTATGAGGTTATATATTATTTTAATTTATATTATTATATTATTATATTACTCTTTTTGTTAAAGTATCTCTTTCTTGCCGCTTTTTAACTTTATAATTTTAAAATTGTGACACTAGAGCTTTTATTGATATACATAGTTTAAAACATAGTATAGCAGTTATAAATCGTTCAACTTTTGATGGAGCGCAAACGCGTTTATTTGCCGAATATGGATAGTCGTTATATTGAGGGCCGTAAAAAATCAACACGCATTTGCTAAACCACTACTAGTGTATCGCGGACATTTGTTCACTTGAAACACGTAGTTTTGATTGTGTCCACATTCAGTCACAAAATGGAATTTCTAACTGCTCGCTTGACCATTAATTTCCAACGAAGAGTCGAGAGATTCGCAAACATTTACACTTCACCAATCACGATATTGCCAAGTGTTGATGAATTCCTTGCCAATCAAAGGATGAAAAACCATTTAGATTCATTGTTGTGATTAAAAAAAAACGGAAAAAGTTCAATCTTTTCGCAATTTCCTATCGATTTAAATATATATTTCTCTGATTGAGAAAAATGAAATTTTATATATATATATATATATATATATATATATATATATATATAATTTTAATCACAACTGCTATCTTTGTTTTAAAAACAATTACACGCAGGAAGATAAAAATAATTTTATTTTTAATCACATCGTTTATATGAATTTAATTAAAAAGAGACGAATATAAATTTTATATTTCGAAATTTGAAAGCGCGAGAGAAATTTGACAAAAATTGTTTATAACATATACATTTATATAAACTAACAGCATTTTCATATTGCAATTGTACCATTCTCGAAATAATCTACTCATGCAAAATTCCGCGACATTGCCTTTCAACTTTTGTCTAGACGTTCTAATACATTGTCTTTACTTCATTGTCGGCCTCCCAGACAAAAGCTAAACAATGGTTCTGTCACTCTACGCAATCTATTAAAATTAACGAGGTCTGGCGTGAAACGTCTCTTTGTGAAGTTATTAATCCTCTAGTGATCTGCCGTTCATTACTTTTTCACGCGGGTTATGAATCTAAGACAACTTGCGTGTCCAACACGGGAGCCTTTGGTTATTAAATAGAAAACTATAATGCACATGTCTCCGCTTTATGATATCCATTAAAATTAATGATACTCACGCGTTGCTTCGATTAAAAGACTTTCCAAATATTCTCAACCGGAAGTTTTCGTTGCTTTGAATTATCCACCGGTTAAGTGATTCGATCTTTGATCGCGGTTGCAAGTAATGTCAGTCATTAGCGAGATACGAATTTGCAAATAATTATATTTTCGCGTTTCTTGCATGCCGTTTGTCTTTCATGTCTTTTATATATACGAGTGTCGTCGCATTTCAATTAATAAAACGCATTCTCGCAAAAAAGAGAAACCAACGCTCCCAACAGAAAATTTATCATGCAGAAAAATAATATTTGTCAAAATTTTTTTTTTATTTGAACGGGCTGCTTTTTAATGATTAAAAAAAGTGACATATAAAATTGTTAATATCATTAAAATTATATATAGTGGTTGACAAAGAGTCAATCAAAAAGAAGCTGTACATTGTTTACTTTCTTTGTTGTATTAATGCTTAGAGAGCATGAATATCTTGATGTATTTTAGCTTGAATATGCAAAGTATGCTTTTTGTTCTCTTCAAAAGAGGATCTAGGAATGTCATGATAACCAAGGTAACGAGACATTTCTCTCGACTACAGTTGCTCTAATTGTTAATGATGCACTTGCCCGATTTTATTAATTTTACAATTCGATTTTTTGTATATAAGTTTGACAAGTATAATTTATTATTTACTAAATGTATGTATTTGTACATAATATTTTTTTTCTTTGCATATTTATTTAAAAATAGATGTTTTCAATTTTATTTTTCAATTTGCATTTTTAAAATTGAAAGAAATATGAATGTATATCTGGCAAAAAAGATTTATGTAAATTCCGAGGATCTTTTGAGACTCTTTCGAAGTAAAATACACTAAGTTACGTAAGTGATGCGATCCAAGGATATCTTTTGCCGAAGGTGTATAACATGAAAAGTGCGGTTGACATATCTTTCCTATGCAAGGTGACGCTTTTATCCGTGACCCGTGAACTTTTATAAAGAGAGAAAGAAAGAAAGAAAGAAAATGAGGGAGAAAGCTGTCTGAAAAAAAGTCGCGGTAATTTGTTCCGAAGTGAGTTCCATGTAAAAATACATTACAGCATTTTCCCTCGCTTCTTTTCCGTCCGATTGGGCGACATTCTCTCCAACAGCTGATCAATATCCAATCAAGGGAGGCTGCTGATCGACCGCTTGTCCATCCGTTTATTACATTAGACCCTCAAGGGGACTTTGAAGCACTTTGCCGTGAATATTCGAGCCTTTGATGGAAGACGTACGGCGTAAACCCGATTAAGTAGTATTAAAAAGACCCCTCCTCGATTTTAGGCGCGCCCTTCTTACAAGCCGGCCACCCTTCGTTAGGGAACGATCTCGAGGTGTTGATGACTACTTACGTCGAAGACGTAGACAATCGCATAATTATTTTATTCTTAGCCTTTAAATTTAAACATCCTTGAAAATTATTTAATACTACTTTTTATTATTATTATTACTATTAATTATATAATTGTGATTTGTGAAAAATGAATCAGTTTCGGATTTTTTAAATACAAGAGATAATACGAGATCGAGATTATTCATGCAATATACTCGGGTGTACTTTATTTTAGTCAAAGTCAATCTTAAGACACTTCTAATCGAAATATAGACTCGAAAGGACGAAAGGAGCGAAAAAGCATGAAGGATATCCGCGAATACGGCGTCGCGTCACGATAATTCTTCCGACAACGGCGCCCCGTGTTTCACTGCGTATCCCACAGTGTGATTTACAATCTTTAGGACTTCGTATTTCATCCCGGCTTGCAGGGGAGGGAGGAAAGGGAGACGTTTTTCCCGTACAAGAAACTCTTTCACGGGCTATCGGCTCCCGCGTGCATCGTCTGCTGCTTCTCCCTCGATTTCTTTATTTCCACCGCCGCGAATTCGCCGATAATAATATCGGAATGGGCAGCGCCGAGGTCTTTCAAAGCGCAAAACTATTTCCTGCCGCTTAATTAAAAAAGTCTTGCTCGGCTCGATATCAATTTCGTGTATTACTTTCGCGAGAATGCGTTCGCATAGCTATCGACGTTCCGTTCGAACATTTTCAATTAACCAAGCCAGGCTTCATCTTATTTTTTAACGTACGCTCCGTTTGAGGTCC